AAAAAAATGGGTAAAGGTGATGGGTAAGCTCAGGGGGGGCGGGCAAGGGTATGGAGTGGCTTCACCCGTACCCATACCTTGCGGGTGCCATCCCTAGCAGGACAAAAAACCTAACAAAGCTCAAAGAAGATAAAGCCCTCCCGTCAGCAAGGTCGGGATCCACCGTGCTTTCATGGCCCGAAACGGACCGATCACTGCGCCGGCGAATGGCAGAGGAACCCTAAGTTTTTTCTTAGAATCGGGAGGAGGCAAAGTCATGCTCCATGCAAAGTTTTTTTAGGGGAATGTTTTGTGAAAACTAGAAATGGTAGATTCCACTAAAATTAAAAACGGTAACTTCTCTAAAAAAACTATAGTATAAATAGTAAAAAAAAGTAATTAAAGAGAATATGAGTAGTTGATTTAAAAGCACTCTTGTGTGTGAATATGAATACAAGAAGAAAACGACTTGTCAAACATACTCATGTGTGTGATTACGAATACAAGAAGAAAACAACTTGTCAAACATACTCATGCTTGTGAATGTGAATACAAGAAGAAATGAAAAGAAAATGACTTTTATTTAGTCAATTAAAAAACCGTTGCTATTTTTTTTGGTCAATTCTTGAGAGTTGTCGAATCAAGATGGATGAGAGTTTTTCAGCTTGAGATCAAATGAGCTCGGTGAATAGTAAATTTTGAAGAAAAAATAAAATATATTGAAATTTCTCCGGGGCAAACATTGAGGAAAGTTTACAGTGCTTACAAAAATTCATCAAACAATCACATTTATGGATGCCGTGGCAAAAAAAATTGATGCTCCACAAGTGTTATTTCCGCAAGCATTTTGAAGTGTTGATTTTGTTTATTTTTTCATGACTTCCACGAATGTGATTTCGTGCTCACATTTTGCAAGCACTTAAAACATTTGTCAAAGATCATCATAAAGAAAATGGATTTTTTTATTTTGTTTTCATTTTTTTATAATTTTATTGTTCATCGCGAGCTCAAATGAGCTTGCGAGCAGAACATGACTTTCGCATCAAGATTTTATTCTCCCATTAGCATCTATATGAAGTTTTTTTCTTAAAAAAAGCATGCATAACGAAAAACCCTAACCCTGCCGCCCGAGGAGCTGGTACGAATCTACGATAGAGCTCAGTCTAATATGCTCTGGTGGACGAACTTGATGAGTTTGGGAGCCTAGAATACTGACTCAAAGAAGAGCTGCCATCTGTCCGGGTGTCGCCCCTGTGAGAACTAAAACTCTAGTCTATCTACTAGCCGGAGCCAAGACAATAGGATTCCTCTCACGGTTGGCAGAGGCGAATCCACAGGCTCAACGACGGAGATCGAGGGTAGGAAGGTTTTGCTTTAACTGCCTTGCGATAGGGGAAAGAAAGACCTTCATCATCATCATCTTCGTTCCACAAAACCTAAAGTTCGACCGTGGTGGTTTTGAATTGGGAACAATTAGTTCTTAGCCGCCGACAGAAAGCATGGAACTATCTTTTTAAGCACAAACGTATGTCTGCCATGTAAAAAGTTAAGTTGGATTTGACAACCCCACAAATTAAAAGAAGAGATAATTCGGTTGCAAATTTAGGGTTGCATGAGGCGGTGAATTTAACCCGATAATCCACGGACTCGCCTTTCTTTCTTTCTCAAGCAACAAATTAAATTAGAAAAATTGTGGGAAAATTTAAAAATTATGATGTTGTTATATATGTCTATTGATCTATGTAACAATAGTCCCAGAAAAAAATCATGGGTTATGGCAACATTGTTGACTTTAGAATACAACGAACAGACTATTTGAAGTACCTGAACTTTTTAAGCACAACGTATGTCTGCCATGTAAAAAGTTAAG